GCTTGGGCTTTGGAATGCAGGGATTGGACATGAGTTTTGTGTTTCCCAGGACTCTAAGGGGGTCCACAGGAGCCAAAACATGTAGTTGGGTTTAATATACGTAGTAGGAATGCGGGTGGGTAGTTTTGTGAGAAAATCATTATTCGGCTTTTGGACCGTTGAGGGGATCCAAGCATGTGTCGATGTCCTGAACCCTAAACCCAAAGCCCTGAAGAATACCATCAGCAACTTCCATGACGCTCCGGAAGGGTTGTTAGAATAACGAATATGATCATATCGGTGGCACCCCGTAATAGTATATATGTAATTATAGATTTACATTTATATCTTACCATTGCCATACATAAACGTGTGTATACATAATATATATATATATATATATGTGTGTGTATATATGTATGAGATCCGATGGAGTCCCCAGGTTCGTTCTGAGTGCCCGGCAATGGTCAAGATGACGATGATGGAAGAGATCAGAGCCAGCCTGCCACTGGCTTGCGGTGGAACTTAACTTACCTTTGGGAACCCTAAACGAGTCCCCTTAAAGGACCTATAGGGATCTATAAGGTTTTAGGGGTTTAGAGTAGGGAAGGGAAGAATGGTAGTAACGGTAGTTGTAATTGTTCCCCATTCCTCCTTTCCCTACTAACCAAAGGCAAGTTAAGTTACGGCCACCTTGACGATTAGAGGGACTGAATGGGTGTTGGGGATGCGGCGGTTGAGCGACCTAGTGAAAGTTACCATAAGCCGGACATACATACATACTATTATAGTATATGTACATAAGCATGTTTACACAGACACACATAATATGTACATACGTAGCTAATGCTTCTCGTCTTAAGACGTTCCTTCACAAGAGCAGGCCACACTTGGGGGTTTCGACTTTACGGCTTTAGGGTTGATTGGACTGTCGGATTTTGGGCTGTTGGAAGCTTTAGGCGGGCTTTTGGGTTGTTAGGCACATGCAGAACAACCAAACCAAACTCCAGTTCTTGGTCAGCTTATGCTGCATACTGTACTGTGTATGTCCCCCGGAAAATGAAGCTTCTTCCCATGAATAAGAGCACATGACCTAAGAATTGCTGTGGGACCGCGAGCATCTTTCCCACGAACCTGTCTGGCTCCTAGTAGGGAATGGGGGAACGGGTTATAGGGAGTACTATGGGAGACCTTAAGGGACTATCATAGGGATCCCTTCCCCCATTCCCTACCAAGAACCAGACCGAAACAGCATGCCAGGGATACCAGACCAGGCCAAAAGCAGGGCGTGCGAAGAACTCCCGGTGCTCTCCAACAAGTAACGCCTCATCCTTGTCTGCTTTTTGTTATAGGAGCTTTCTAGGTAGTACAAATAGACCGAAACTGATTTTCGACTTCCCATTGTGATGGCATAGACTCATCGAACTCCACGAAAACCCGCAAATCTCATACGAAGGATTCGAAACTTGATGAGGGTCTATTTCGTCAATATGTAAACGCCCCCCCTAGCAAAACACACACACACACACAGCTCAAACGACGTAAGCCATGATTTGTTGAGCCTTGCATAAGTGCTGTAATGCATCACTCTTCGGACATAACGCCAAACTGCTACCCAAAAGCCCTGAAAGCCGTAAACATATACACTTGCATTACATTACATTACAGTACATGTAGTTGCATTAAAGTAACTCACTCTACCATTACCAATACCATTACAATATATTACATCACATCACAATACATCACATTGCGCTGCATTCCACGACAGTCCGTTTACACTACGCCACAGTGCGCTACAGTACTCTGCATGACTTGCTACATTATACTGCATTGCAGTACATTGCACTGCAATGCGCTACACTGCGCTACTTTACACTACATTCAAGTACGTTACACCACGTAAAATTGGCCCCCTCGTCAGTGAAACTCTACACCCGAAAACCCCCTAAACCCTAAACCCTACACCCCTACACTAACCCGAAAACCGAATCCTTTCAACTCGATGCGGCGCAGGCGGCAGCGGCTCTGGCCAGGCGTGCGAAGTAGTAGACCTCAAAGTACGTCAGGTTGTTTAGGGTTTACTTAAAGCGCCAAAAATACGTTACAATTAGAAAAAGGAACCCCGAAAATAGTATAGGTAATTAGTACCTAAACCGCCAAAAATACGTAAAATAATAGCCCAATACCCATAAAACGCCATGATTCTACATACCTTTGGGGTCCAGGTATAGGGTTTAGGGCACCCCCCAGCCCTTCCGTGGCTGTTTAGGGCTTCGGGGGCTTGTAGTCCTCAAAGACACGTCAGGCTGTGGTCTCGGTTCTGAAGGGAATCTACGGTTTAGGGGTTTAGGGGTTTTAGGGGTTTTAGGGTTTGGGGTTTAGAGGTTTAAAATTTAGGGGTTTAGGGGTTTAGGGGTTTAGGGTTTAGGGGTTACTGGTTTAGGGGTGTAGGGCTTGGGGTTTGGGGTTTAGGGGTTTAGGGGTTTAGGGGTTTAAGGGTTTAGGGTTTAACTACAAGGGTTGCTGGAGACCTTGGTTTCAGGAAGCTCTCAATTTCAGGGTGCTGGAATCGACTGGGTTGCCTAGTTGCTCTTTCATAAAGGCACAGGAAGTCAAGTTTCGGGGCCTTGAGCACAGCATTGCGAGATCAGCACCCTAACAGCCCTTCAACCGGCAACTCCAAGCATGATAAAGGAAGCTGTCAGCCAAAATCGGTTAGCCAGGACCGGATGTGCTAATGTAGGGACCTTAATCATTAGACTAGGGTTTTTGGGGCCCAGTCCTCGCTATTTATACTAAGGAACCCCCAAAATAGTGTAAGTAACATTGAGGCCCCTACATTACTGTAGTCCGGGAGGCCAAAACAACTTTCAGTCCCTTTCCTCGAGACCCCGGAAGGACTTGCAAGTCGTTTACACCCTAAACCCTAAACCCATTTCCTACACATAGGGCCCCGGCAGAGATCTCATGGAGCTGTTCCTTGTCGACATTGGCCGAATACGCTAGACAAGGGCTTTGGGAGCTTCTAAACCAAGGAAGGTATTGGGGAACCCCCCAGAGACGACTGCTACTCGTGATCCCAAGCCCCGATCTCTATCTGTATATCTGTCTATCTGCGCTTGTTTGTGTAGTTACTGCTTTTTCTTAAAGGGGTGGGAGGCTGGGTGGTCAAAACGAGAAGGTTGGCAGCTCGGTGGTTGGGGGCCTTCAGAAGAACTAACAGCCCTAAATCAAAAGTACCTGCAACCTAAATCCAATAGCAAGCGTGCAACGTGTTTCTGGCTTGAGGGTCCTCGCCTGATAAAGAGGTGTGCACAAACTGCTCTCAAGGGATACTTCAGCACTTCACCAAACAGGCAAAAGAGATAACGACCATCCGCAGAACGGTCAGCTAGCTCAGACACGGCATACGTAAGCTTCGCAATGGGTACTGTAGCTGCCCTAAACCCCTCAAACCTAAACCCCTCAACCCTAAACCCCGAAAGCCTAATTACACCCTGAAAGCCTAAACCCCGAAACCCTAATCCCCGAAACCCTAACTTTGCCTAAGTAAGAAGCTGCCTTTAAAACGGGAAGACCCGGCAGTGGACTCTCCTTGCATGCCCGGGAACCCGCTACTCTAAAGAAGCTTAGGAGGCTCAGGGTCTGGGGTTCAGTTAGGCTTTTCTTTTAAGCACCTCTTAAAAAATAGGGTTTAGGGTTTGGGGGTTTCAGGTTTCGGGGTTTGGGGGTTTCAAGTTTCGGGGTTTGGGGGTTTAGGGTTTAAAGGTTCATAGGGTCGTGAATGTTGGAGAGAGCGTAGTGTTACCATGACAGCAAAGATGGAGGGGCGATGAGCAAACTTCTGCTTCCAAGTAAGCACATCAAAACAAGATGAGCCCAAGTCCTTCGAGAACATCCGAAGACAACAATCGAGCGCTTAGCCGATTGAGTCCGAAGACAAAGCCTGTAAAGAGCATCCAAGTCTCCACAAGCATCCTATCCAGGTAGCCACCATGCCTCGGAGTGCTGTAAATTTCGTCTAATCCTTATGCACCCCAAACCCTAAACCCTAACCGGACCTGCGGCTTTCGGGTTTCATTGTGTCAGATCTCAGAACTTTCGGCTTGCATGGGGAATGCAGGGCCGAATGGGACATCCTCTGTAGGGTTGGGTGGTTCAAGGAGTATTTGAAGCCACCCGCGAAACTCCCGTTCGTGGTTCAAAGGTCCTGCAGCTCGGGTTTAGGACCTAGTGATGGGCAGACAGTAAAGTCAAATGGGGCTTGGGGTTGTGGGAAGTGGGTTTCGCGTGGGGGCCCCGTCGGGGCAAGATGAATCTGTGTCTAGGAGTTTGCCTTCAACAGTGCATCCCTATGTTCGGATTGCTCTAGGTAACGGCGTGCTTCCAAAAACACACATGCCCAAAGCCACAAGCCCCAAAATTCTCGTCTTCGTGTGGAGTTGCCTGTCTTGACGGATGTGCAAGTCCATGTGGTTCAAGCACGGTTCAGATTCAAGGGCTGCGCGTTGTGTGCGTGGGCTCTACTTTCCAACCATTATACTTTCTACTGATTACGGCTTAGGGCCCTTGGGTTTGGGCCCAAAGTCGCAAACCTCGAAAACCATTTCTAAACCCTAAATTTCACCAAAATCCGACAGTCGAGGCTAGGCTGTCCCGCAAGACTGAACCATGCAACATGGTAGGTGCCGACCCCCGGTGTTTACATGGTACGGCTGATGACATAAATCCTGCATTACCCATAATAAAGAATATACCATAATTCCCATAGTTCAGGGTTTTGGGTTATACCAAAAGTCTCCATTGTAGTTCCTTTTTTTGGTTAGCCAAAACCTCTATTATAGGATCCTAACCAGAAAATTGGTTAACCAAGAAAAGGAACTACAATGGAGACTATAGCTAACCCCGAAGAGAATGGATAGATTTTTGGAGTCCCAAGTAATCTCTGAACCCAAAGCCCTAAACCCAAAGATGGAGGCCTGAATGCCAGCCCCAGAAAGAGCAGACCAGAGAATAAGTCAGGTCGACTGGGACTCCTGCGAGATGATCTCAGTCTGGACTGCCTGGATCCTGCCAGAGTTCTCTTTCATTTGTCGCGTCGAGTTAAGGGGTTGGGCCTGGGTTTAGGGTCTAGTGTTCAGGTGTAGGGCTCAGGGTTTAAGGTTCAGATTTAAGGCTTAGGCTTAGGGCTTAGGGTTGTAGGGTCGGAGGGCACCGACAACCCTCCTGTAAAAAACCTAAAAACAAGGGTTATGCACCTCTCGACTGAAGACGTCCTGAGGCCGTGAAGCCCCTCGACCCCTAAACCCTCGTACAACGCTACAAAGCCCTTGTGAAACTCTAACCCGAATCAGCCCATTAACAAGCCGTAGTACATTGGTCCAATGAGACATGCCAGGAAACTGCTGGCTGAAGAGTCGTCGCATCTCGAAGCTCATCCCATTGAGATGCCGTGTCACCACGATGTACCTGGGACCATGTACTGGGTTCAGGGTTATAGGGTTTTTATTTAACATGTACTGGTTATAGGGTTTAGGGTTTAGGGTTTCTGAGACCCATGTAGGTTGTAATTAGTTCGGAGTCGGGTTCAGGTCTTAGGCCCTGTTGGCTTGCATAGATGTCTAATAGTTTTAGGGTATATGGTGTACCGGGGACATTTGCAAGTTTTCTGGTGAAGGGATGCTCGGGCTTCGCCTTTGTACTTTGTCGGAAGGAGCGCACTAAAGACCTAAGCATAAGCTCTTGAATGTCGGTTACACTGGCTACATCGCTATACAGCTAAACCTAAACCCCTAAACTCTACTCCCAAAGCCTTGAACCGTTCCTGAAGTACATCGCTTATAAGCCTGTCCGTCCAGCACTCCACATAATCCTAGAAGCCTAAACCCTAAAGGCCCTGGAGCCTAAACCAGAATTTGAAGGATTTAGGGTTTAGGGCTTAGCGCACAGTAGGTAAACCTGGAGCCAAAAGAACCTACCTTTTTAGGGCTCACTATTAGGGCTTCCTTGTATGAGTCCTTAAACAGATAGGTTATGTAGGGTCCAGGTAAGGCACAGTAGACCCTAAACCCCAAACGCTACACCCTACACCGTTTAGGGCTTAAGGGGCTTAGAGTCCCGTGAATTCTGACCAGGATGCATGAGCTGGCGATAGGCCGCTTGCTCCTGTGCTCTGGCACAGTCTTTGGGGTTTAGGGTTGAGGGCTTTAGGGTTTAGGGTTTTAGGGCTTTGGGTTTCGGTTTGAGGGATCTGTAAAGGTTCTACACAAATAAGGCCCTTATCTGATTAGAATGCGGTTCTTGAAGGGTGACCCAAGAGTTCTGTAGCACGGGGGGCTGAATCATTCAAGAGCGAGCTTGGGGAATATGATGCGAGCACTGTGTTCGAAGGATCTCCAAGAAGCAATATTGGTGATGTGTCCGACTTCCTTGGACCCTTATTGTTGTCACCCTCGAAAGGATGTTCGAACCTCTTCACCTAAAACCCTTCACACTAACATGCTCAAGACTAGTTATGGTACCTCGATCTGACCTGCTCTGGCGTACTTGTCCTAGCTTAGTACACCCTAAACCCTAAGCCCGTGATATCCCTGAACGCCCAGGCCCCTGTGTTTCAGGACATTGGCTGGACGGATTGCAATCGACCCTGAACCCGTAAACTCCTAAATCCTAGAGTCTGAACCAGTGAGCACCTACAAGGGCCTGTCGCAAATCACGATGTGAATGTACTTCAACTGGCCTATCTCTCAAGCTGTATATACCTGCAACTACCATACATATGTACATCTGTGCGCCTATCCGTCGAGACATATGAGTAAAGCCTGAACTCAGCACTCTAGGTTTTGTGTATGTATCTATGTATACATATATATATAGATATAGATATACAGATATACAGATATACAGATATATACATACGTACATACACGAATGCATTTACAAGCGCAGCTGGCTGCGTCCAAATGGATTGATGCGCGAAGTGGTTGACAACACAGACCAACAGCTAGGTAGATAAATAGGCAGCCGCAATTAGGCAAACCAATAGAGATCGAGGGAGAGACGTGTAGGTACAGACGTGATCATACTTGCATAGTGTTGACAGATTCACATACATGCTCAACACCACGGTCGTGTGACAACAATTGTGTATGTCAAAAATCTTACCATACAACCTGTCAAGAACACACCAACGTCTATCAGTCTATCTCACAATTCACACTCTGCCACTTGTATTACGTGTATCCCGGCCCCAACCCTTACGCCGACAAAAGCCAGGTAAGTTGAGTTTCGTAGATTTTAAAAAAAACCATAGGTTTGTTAACAAACTAAAGCCAGGTAAGTTGAGTTTCGTAGATTTTTTTTGAAAAAAAAGTTTTTTCAAAAAAAAACTAAAGCCAGGTAAGTTGAGTTTCGTAGACAGATAGCAGCGTCTCGTTCATGAGCTTCAGGGTCTCTGCACGCGTGGCGGGACAGCTCCCGCACTCGCAGCGCGCGTAGCCTCGGTCTGCCAGGAGTATAAGCTTTGTGGTTTGGTAGGTCAGTAGGTTTAGGGTGCAGGGTCAAAACTTCGAGAAAGAGTTTAAGCTCCACTGGGGCTAAACACCCATTCTCGCCATACTATAGGTTGGTTCGAAGACCCGCATAAACGAACGTTGTCATCGGCTTGTTTGGGCACCGGCCGCTTTGACGGGAATCTAACATGGAGACCTTGTACGGCTGTTTAAGTTTGGGTTTCTGTTCTGCAGAGTGGATCGTAGCTCCAGGTGCTTGATATGAACAACTGTATTGTGAGTGGGGTTGTCTCTGCAGTGGCTTTCTGGCTTGGGTTTTCTCAATGGTGCAATGCTGCATGTCGACGAACCTGCAAGTTTGAGGTATTGCATGCCTTCTGCATATACATGCGTAACTCATCTTGAAGCCAGCTCGCACAGCTCAAGCAGCCCATGGAGGCAGCAAGCTCTGAACGGTAAGACCCGAAAACGATCCGACTCTCAGAGCCGGGTCAATGTACTATTTAAGATGTTTTGCAGGGTCTGAGGTTAGGGATCCACACTACCATCCCCCAAAGCAAACCCTAAACCCTACAGCCCTACAGTAAAAGCCAGAAAGTTGGAATATGATTATCCTAAACCCTTTATGGTAAATTATAGGGTATCCTACCCTGAAACCATATTCCAACTTTCTGAAGTTCCCTTTAACCTTAACCGTCAACCCGACCCGACCAGCCCAAAAAAAGAGGCAGAAAGCAGGACGCTGAGCTTCCATGTAGGGTTAAGGGTGAGCTCTCAGAACCCTGACCAAGAGGGTTCATAATGTATACTATTATTATGGAAATGGGACCCCAAGAGGGTTCAGAATGTACTACTACTATTATGGAATTGGGACCCCAAGAGGGTTCATAATATACTACTATGATGGAAATGGGACAACCAAGAGGGTTCATAATGTACTATTATTATGGAAATGGGACCCCAAGAGGGTTCAGAATGTACTACTACTATTATGGAATTGGGACCCCAAGAGGGTTCATAATATTCTGCTATGATGGAAATGGGACAACCAAGAGGGTTCATAATGTACTAGTATTATGGAAATGGGACCCCAAGAGGGTTCATAATGTATACTATTATTATGGAAATGGGACCCCAAGAGGGTTCAGAATGTACTACTACTATTATGGAATTGGGACCCCAAGAGGGTTCATAATATACTACTATGATGGAAATGGGACAACCAAGAGGGTTCATAATGTACTATTATTATGGAAATGGGACCCCAAGAGGGTTCAGAATGTACTACTACTATTATGGAATTGGGACCCCAAGAGGGTTCATAATATACTACTATGATGGAAATGGGACAACCAAGAGGGTTCATAATGTACTAGTACTATGGAAATGGGACCCCAAGAGGGTTCATAATGTATACTATTATTATGGAAATGGGACCCCAAGAGGGTTCAGAATGTACTACTACTATTATGGAATTGGGACCCCAAGAGGGTTCATAATATACTACTATGATGGAAATGGGACAACCAAGAGGGTTCATAATGTACTAGTATTATGGAAGTTGGACCCCAAGAGGGTTCATAATGTACTAGTATTATGGAAATGGGACCCCAAGAGGGTTCAGAATGTACTACTACTATTATGGAATTGGGACCCCAAGAGGGTTCATAATATACTACTATGATGGAAATGGGACAACCAAGAGGGTTCATAATGTACTAGTACTATGGAAATGGGACCCCAAGAGGGTTCATAATGTATACTATTATTATGGAAATGGGACCCCAAGAGGGTTCAGAATGTACTACTACTATTATGGAATTGGGACCCCAAGAGGGTTCATAATATACTACTATGATGGAAATGGGACAACCAAGAGGGTTCATAATGTACTAGTATTATGGAAATGGGACCCCAAGAGGGTTCATAATGTACTAGTATTATGGAAATGGGACCCCAAGAGGGTTCATAATGTACTAGTATTATGGAAATGGGACCCCAAGAGGGTTCATAATGTACTAGTACTATGGAAATGGGACCCCAAGAGGGTTCATAATGTACTAGTATTATGGAAATGGGACCCCTATACTCAAATTCAATCAGACTAGGGTTGTGGGGCCGATTGTACTTGAATTAGAATAAGGAACGCCGAAAATGGTATAGGTAATTATTAAGGCCACTATAGGATATTAAGGCCCCTGTAAGTAGGGTCATTTTAATAAGGGACCCCGAAAATCGTATAGGTAAGTATTAGAAGGCCGCTATATTGCAAGATCTACCGCACTAAGAGACGAGGTGCTATGACCCGGCCGCCAGAATGTTCTCTTGAACTGCACTTCACACCTGGGCACAAGGCGACACTTACTGTGTAGGTTTTAGGGCTTTGTGTAAGTAAGGGTTACCCGGGAGGTTATGTATCAAAGTTCTTTTCGAGTTTAGGCTCGTGGCATTTTGCGGTGTCAGGTTTGGGGCGGGTTTGGCTTACCCTAAGGCCCCACAGTAGTTCCTTTTTGGGGTTCGTATGTAGAATCCTATAAGGTAATCCCAAAAAGGAACTACTTTGGGGCCTATGGGTAGCACCCTCACTGCGATTGGCTTCAAGGGTCCGTGTATGTCTTATACCGAAACCTACACAGCCTGAAGCGCTGAAGCCGGAGCACTAAACCCCAAAACCCTGAACCCTACATAGAACTCCAAAAAGTTGGAATATGGATTAATGGTAGGATCCCCTATAATTTACCATAGAAGGGTTAGGATAATCATATTCCAACTTTCTGGCTTCTACCTTAGACCCTAACTTCAAAAAGCCATAAGCTCCAGAAGACGCACCCCTAAACCCTTTACTGTACTCGACACCCGAAGCCGGTGAAACCAGTACTTGCTCGGTCGCAGGAAAGATGCAAGAGAGGGCACCGCGCCCCACCGTAGACGCCTCATTCTTGCTGATTTGCGCTACATATGTTAGGGCTCGGACAACAGTTTACATGAACCAAAAGGCAAACAGCTTGTAATGGGAACTCTGATGTGATTTGGCAAACACGGCTGTTGGCACGCGCAGCCTGCCTTAGCCTTAAACTCCAGGTTTGAGCATCGCACATGACCGGAGGGACTCAATATACGAGGCCCTGGACCTGACATGGTCTGAACTATTTCACAAGGATCCTACAGCTCTCTTCTTCAACAAGCGGGCCCCAAAAAATTCAAACTTTCTAAGATAGAGCCAACATATAAGGCCAAAAAGTTTAAAGTTCCCCCGTTCACTATCTAAGAAAGTTGCTGAACTCCAACCATAAACACTAAACCCTAAACCACGACAGGAGGACCCCAGATCCCCTCAAGGGTTAACACCTTCAAACAAGCATGCGAAGCAACGACCGACACTGCGGAAATCGGGTCCTTGTCGCAGGTGCAGATGGAAAGCCATATAGAAGGATTTCTGGAGAAACTAGGGTAATGTAGGGAGCTGTTCTGTAACATTATCAGAAGGGGCAAGGGACCATGCGAAAAGCAGGAGGGCTTTTCTTCCTCAGCCTCCTGGACTATTTTAAGCATCGCGGACTTGGTAAGTAAGGTCAAGGTCATACAACTCTCGCGGGGGTTGCACCAAAATGAGGCGATTACAGTCGTGGCTACATCTCTAAGTCAGGTGTAACCTCATTTACTGGGGGTTCAGGGGTGAAACCACCACGACCTCACCAGCTAAGCACCCCGCCAGGGCAGCAACCAGTCTCCACATTTGGCTCCTGCTGCCGGTTTGGGGTTTAGGTGTGTCTTAAACGAGTGTGTGTGTGTGTGTGTGTAAGTAAGTAAGTGAGTAAGTAAGTAAGTGAATAAGAAAGTGAGCAAGGGTGTGTGCGTGTCCGTGTGCGTGTGCGTGTGCGTGTGCGTGTGCGTGTGCGTGTGTGCGTGTGCGTGTGTGTGTGTGTGTGTGTGTGTCCATCCCTGTTTCGAAGGGTAGGTACGAAGCTGATACGTGCGTACTCAGCTAGCTTCAATTGGGTCGACCGAAAGTGAGAGATTGCAGTGACGAGCAGGGGGCCGGTGCTCTCCCTGGGGGTCACCGGCCAACGAAGACACCCCCAGGGAGGGGTGCAAACGTACCTGCCAGCAAGGGACGTGCAAGTGTGTTGCAAGGGACGTGCAAGTGTACTGCATCTTGTCAGCAGCTGACTCTTCTGACTTTGAGAGTGTGATTCGAGACCTGCGACACGATGTGTCAAGTGTGCTTCACAACGGCATTCCCTATGGGCGCCGTGTCTCCCAGAGGTAGCTCTGGCGTTGACTTTCCCGATTGACTGTATAAGCATTGGATGACTTTCCCTGATTCTATATCCGTGCTTGCAAGCTGACTTTCTCAGTGAGTCTTCACCAAATGCCTGTACCGAAACCTGAATGCTGACTTTCCCACTGACTGTCTATGATCTGATCGACTTTCCCGAATCTGACTTTTTCGCTGACTTGTCGCAGGTCTTCGGCAGATCGCGTAGGGTGGCAGCTCAGTGCGCACCAGACTTAAGTCTTTCGAGTTAAACCCTTGCAAGACTCGTATGAGCATTTTGAGAATCGATCTCTTCTCAAAGCGCTTGTGGAAGTTGAGTGGGAGCAAGATTCAAACTTCTTCGTGATTCCTGAACTTCGTGGGTTGGAAGTGCGTGAGGAAGAAGCGAAGCTGATACGTGTGTACTCAGCTAGTTTCAATTGGGTCGCGCTGCAGTTTGGGAACAACTTGAGTAAGTTTGTTCAACTACGGAGCAGTGCAAGAGTTGTGCAAGCGATGTGCAAGCGCTGCAGTTTGGGAACAACTTGCAGTGAACGATTGCTGGTGTCAGGTGCGAAGTCGAGAATCTCTATCATCCGTAAGTACACTTGACCAACGTACCAAGCAGAAGTCGCTGTTCATACTTTTGTACGGTGGTTAGCGTACCTTGGATATCCATTTCGCTTGTGTGAAGCTTTGATGAAACGGTAAAAGCGGTCTGTAATCAGTTGACAGTTGACAGCGGACGTGCATGCAACATGTCTTAATCTGACTTTGCCATGTGTGAGAGATTTGCAAATGTTAGCATCGCAGTGCTTTTGGCTTGTATCTGTGACGCATGCGAGTGCTGAAGTGAGGAAACAATGTGCAGTTGACGCCAGTGCTGAGAGTACTCTTTCATTCATGTTGTAGTGCATATCAGAACAGTGTTGCAGCACCCTGCTCAAGTCTCGTTCCATTGCACTAATGTCGAGCAACTCAGCGTGCGATCCGTTGGCACCTCTTCAACGCTGGATTTCCTACACACAACAGGAGCTGATCACAATCAGAGGGGAATTCCGTCATTTTCGCGAAGAAGCCTTATCCGTCCAGAAGATCCATCAAGCCCAACTCGACGTGCTCACCACACAAATCAGGGACACTGAGGCTCAGGTGGCGGAAGTCATGTCCGCCACCACAGAACTGTTTCAGAAACTTCAAAAGACCAACGAAGTGGTGGGAACTTGCTGACGGATTTGCATTCTCTTCAATCTGTGACTACTCATTGTGTTAATTCTCTTCGACTACAAGAAACAACAGAGTTGCCCCCAACGCTTCCAGCAGAAATTGAAGTCTCAGAGTGAAACGTGAGCAGTTGCAAACAAGCGTCTGTGTGCCAGTGTCACTGCAAGGGTATTGCAAGGGATGTGCAAGGGACGTGCAAGTGACGTGCAAGGGATGTGCAAGGGATGTGCAAGTGACGTGCAAGTGATGTGCAAGAATATTGAACAGACTCTGATCATCTGTGCATGCAAGGTCCTACCTCATGCCCTCAAGGTCCCCTGTAGTGCATGACAGATTCAGCCTTTTGATTCGAAGAGCGTCTTCATCCATCGACAGACAGTCTGCGTCTTCGTCCTCTGGTCGATTAGTTCCTGCCCCAAACCCGAAGCAGTCAGTTGCAGAGCGGTCTGTAATCAATTGACAGTTGACAGCGGACGTGCATGCAACATGTCTTGATCTGACTTTGAGTAGCTTTTCATCATGTCGGTATCCAGTTTCATTCTGAGTGAGCGTCCGGTGTGCTGAAGTTGAATTGCACTTAGTGCATAGACTGCGCTTCCTGAAGTTTCGTAGCCCACTTTCCTAGGTTTCTCGAGCATAAGACTTTCCCATGAAATTCAGTGAAAAAGCAGCGCGCAAACACTGTTTATATTGCAAGGTGAGTGCCACTGTCCTGCAAGTGCTGTGCATTAATGCAAGTGCAGTGCAAGAAATGTGCAGAGTTACATGTCAGAGACGTGCAAGTGCGCCTCCCCACTCAAGGATCCCCATGGGAGGAGTTGAAGGTGACCATTCCTAGTTGTGCAAGCGATGTGCAAGCGCTGCAGTTTGGGAACAACTTGAGTAAGTTTGTTCAACTACGGAGCCTTTTGCGGACGTGCAAGAGCCAGTGTCACTGCAAGGGTGTTGCAAGGGATGTGCAAGGGACGTGCAAGTGACGTGCAAGGGATGTGCAAGGGACGTACAAGTGACGTGCAAGTGATGTGCAAGGTCCTGCCTCATGCCCTCAAGGCCCCTGTAGTGCATGACAGATTCAGAACATACAAGTAGCTTTTCATCATGTCGGTATCCAGTTTCATTCTGAGTGAGCGTCCGGTGTGCTGAAGTTGAATTGCACTTAGTGCATAGACTGCGCTTCCTGAAGTTTCGTAGCCCACTTTCCTAGGTTTCTTGAGCATAAGACTTTCCCATGAAATTCAGTGAAAAAGCAGCGCGCAAACACTGTTTATATTGCAAGGTGAGTGCTACTGTCCTGCAAGTGCTGTGCATTAATGCGTCTTCATCCATCGACAGACAGTCTGCGTCTTCGTCCTCTGGTCGATTAGTTCCTGCCCCAAACCCGAAGTAGTCAGTTGCAGAGCGGTCTGTAATCAGTTGACAGTTGACAGCGGTAGTGCAAGGTTGTGCGTCGGAAGTGCAAGAGCCAGTGTCACTGCAAGGGTGTTGCATACATGTGTTGAAAACATGCCAGTTAAAATTGCGAGATGTGATCCCTCACGCCTCCCCACTCAAGGATCCCCATGGGAGGAGTTGAAGGTGACCATTCCTGCAGTTACATTCGTGACGTTGCCCGTGCCAAAGATGGCAGATGGGTCTTTCGTTCTTCATGTTTCATCCCGGAAGCTTCCGTTGACAACTGCTTTGCACGCATACATGTGTTGAAAACATGCCAGTTAAAATTGCGAGATGTGCCAGCAAGGGATGTGCAAGCGTGTTGCAAGTGATGTGCAAGTGTGCTGCAAGTGAAGTGTCAGCGGTAGTGCAAGGTTGTGCGTCGGAAGTGCAAGCGTCTTCATCCATCGACAGACAGTCTGCGTCTTCGTCCTCTGGTCGATTAGTTCCTGCCCCAAACCCGAAGCAGTCAGTTGCAGAGCGGTCTGTAATCAGTTGACAGTTGACAGCGATGTGCAAGCGCTGCAGTTTGGGAACAACTTGAGTAAGTTTGTTTAACTACGGAGCCTTTTGATTCGAAGAGCAAGTGTGATGCAAGAGTTGTGCAGGCGATGTGCAAGTGCTGCAGTTTGGGAACAACTTGAGCAAGCGGATTGCAAGTGATATGCAAGGGTGTGCGAGGTTTGTGCAAGTGCAGTGCAAGAAATGTGCAGAGTTACATGTCAGAGACGTGCAAGCGACTAAACAGATGCAATGAGCCCGGTCGGGCTTGTGTGTGTCCATCCCTGTTTCGAAGGGTAGGTACGAAGCTGATACGTGTGTACTCAGCTAGCTTCAATTGGGTCGACCGAAAGTGAGAGATTGCAGTGACGAGCAGGGGAGCAGCGCGCAAACACTGTTTATATTGCAAGGTGAGTGCCACTGTCCTGCAAGTGCTGTGCATTAATGCAAGTGCAGTGCAAGAAATGTGCAGAGTTACATGTCAGAGACGTGCAAGTGCGCCTCCCCACTCAAGGATCCCCATGGGAGGAGTTGAAGGTGACCATTCCTAGTTGTGCAAGCGATGTGCAAGCGCTGCAGTTTGGGAACAACTTGAGTAAGTTTGTTCAACTACGGAGCCTTTTGCGGACGTGCAAGAGCCAGTGTCACTGCAAGGGTGTTGCAAGGGATGTGCAAGGGACGTGCAAGTGACGTGCAAGGGATGTGCAAGGGACGTACAAGTGACGTGCAAGTGATGTGCAAGGTCCTGCCTCATGCCCTCAAGGTCCCCTGTAGTGCATGACAGATTCAGAACATACAAGTAGCTTTTCATCATGTCGGTATCCAGTTTCATTCTGAGTGAGCGTCCGGTGTGCTGAAGTTGAATTGCACTTAGTGCATAGACTGCGCTTCCTGAAGTTTCGTAGCCCACTTTCCTAGGTTTCTTGAGCATAAGACTTTCCCATGAAATTCAGTGAAAAAGCAGCGCGCAAACACTGTTTATATTGCAAGGTGAGTGCCACTGTCCTGCAAGTGCTGTGCATTAATGCGTCTTCATCCATCGACAGACAGTCTGCGTCTTCGTCCTCTGGTCGATTAGTTCCTGCCCCAAACCCGAAGTAGTCAGTTGCAGAGCGGTCTGTAATCAGTTGACAGTTGACAGCGGTAGTGCAAGGTTGTGCGTCGGAAGTGCAAGAGCCAGTGTCACTGCAAGGGTGTTGCATACATGTGTTGAAAACATGCCAGTCAAAATTGCGAGATGTGATCCCTCACGCCTCCCCACTCAAGGATCCCCATGGGAGGAGTTGAAGGTGACCATTCCTGCAGTTACATTCGTGACGTTGCCCGTGC